CCCCAAAACCCCAAAACCCCAAAACCCCAAAACCCCAAAACCCCTCAAAAGATTTTTATTGATAATTTAAAATGTCTGAGCAGGTAATAAATTGTTTCTCACTACTCATGGTTTCACATGTACTATGGCGTTCATAGGTTTATAATGTTTCAGAAGAGACTATCATCCGCAGAGACCAATTAGAGAAGGACCTCAGGTGCTCAAAAAGCATATTCAATGCTGTATTCATTGGAAGTTTGGTAATAGCTTGTTACACAGTTGTTGGAGCATTTTTCCAAAAGAATGCCCTTCACTACCTTCATGCCTTATCTCTCCTTATTTTTCATGTGGTATCATGAGTTTATGTGTATGCTCCTTATAACAAATTGACTAAGAATTTCTTCTGATACCTGATCCTGGTGCTCTACTGCCTCTATTCAATAGGAATTGTCTCATATATTGTGTACCTTATCATAAAAGATCAGAATTCTGATGATTCTGCGAAATGGAGGATTAGATACAATTTTACAGGAATTATCTTTCTAGTGTTACAAATAGTCATCCCTCTCTTGCACGCAGCTCTTCTAATCAGATTCATTTATAAGAGGCTTCAGCTAGACAGGAGAATCAAAATTGAATCCAAACAATCTCATGATCTGCTCAATCAGTCAAAAAGCTCAAAAATCTTGTCTCCAAGTGGAGGGCTGAAGAAAGATCACGGTTCGACTAAAAATGTTGATTCAGGGTTAAACGAACCACTCAGTCCTATGAATGACAGTGATCAAGGTAAGGGATGCAGTAATTTCTCCAATCTTTGAGACTTGATCAGATTAAGTAATCTCTATCATATAGAATGAAAATCTCATCAGCCAGTTGAGAGTCAATTACCTGGAAGAATGTCTCATCATCCTTATATTAACCAAGAGCAGCCCCAGAATGACGAGGAAGAGGAGTCCTCCCTACTTAGAGATGAGAACAGAAGATCTTCTATTAATTTCCGCCCAGGTATCAACTAGACAGATTTATAAATTTCAATCAATAATCATAATTATGGGGTTTTGGGGTTTTGGGGTTTTGGGGTTTTGGGG